CAAGATGTGATGGTGAAACCTAAGTAGTTTTAAGGCTGAACATGATATATTTAGAGATGAGTAATTTCCATCGTTGGCCATAAATAAAAAAATATGAAATGGCATGAGAAAGGCATGAAGAAAATCTAACATGGATTTCCTATTCAGTCCCCAGTTGTTATGCTGCAGTAGAGAATGACAGATTCTGTGGGCAGTAATGACTGGTAGGATCGCTGAGATGAGTGAAGCCTTATGCTTGGCCTTGCCAACTCTAAGATTAAGAAATACATTGGAATTTCTCAGCACAGCAGCTTGTAACCTGAGGTCATATGTTAAAATTCATTTTCAAATTTATTTATCTTGAAGTCTCACTCAGACACCCGACACACAGACACAGACACTCTGTAGATTATTTTTAATCATACTTTTCTTCAAGCAGTGTCCAAATTAATATGGGTTTAGCCCATGCTGTCCTCGATTTTAGAATACACCTTCGTGAGGGTAAGATTTCATTCTGGCTTACCTCATTTTAAAATGAAAAAAACACAGTAAAGCATAGTGAAAGTATATCTTTTAACCAGTCTCAAATGTAAGGAACAATCCCTAGTATCAGGTACTTTTTCATTGCGTTGAGCAAAAATAACATTCAGAACTAAGTCTACAGTATAATATTTAAAATATGGAATATAGTGTGGTTCTACAAGGAAAAAAGAACAACCCTTTCTTTAAAGGGTTATTATGTAATAAACATAAAAAAATAATAAACAAACAAGCAGAAAGCATTCTACCATCTCATCACTTCATTCAAGACTTATCATATATTCATGAATAGAAAAAATGGCACCCGTAGACATAACTGAATGTTTATGGAGATGAAGCAGTGGATGTGAACACAGTGAGTCAATGAGCGGTGCATTTCAGCAGCAATGGCAGTGACAGTTGGCCATCTCTGCTGGTGCAGATTTCTATGAGCATGGCATGCAAGCTCTTCAACTCTGGTGAAAACACATAGCTAAGGGTGGTGACTATGTTGAACAATAGCGTTCTGTTGCTGAAAATGTTATCTATCAAACAGTGTTCAGGATCTATTTCAGTGTTTTGCTACCATGCCTAATGCTTAGTACTGCCTATTTTATTTTTTCACTTGCTGTGCATTTGCTGGGTGATTTATTAACTACTTAACCTAACTTTCAGCCCACTCAACCCCACTGTTTTTGTCTTGAAATTTCATTTGTATACTATGACATACATTCTTACAGCTATTATGTCTGTTGTTATATCTTCAAGAAAAGATGTGGATAAGTGGTTGCTAGCTTTTTACATTGCTACCATCAACTGAGATTTGATGATATATTTTCACATTATCAGAGGAATAGAGAATAGCCCAATTATTGGAATTACATCTTCATTTTCCACATTTTCACAAGTACCATAATCAGCTTTGTTAGATATAGCTGTTAAAATATGATTTTAAATGAGTCTTCTTAGTTTGGATTGTGTATTTTTTACCTGCAATGAATCTTGTGGTATTATGAGCATCTGTGATTTGCACATCTTTCCAGTGTTCTGTTTTATTACTTAATATGATGGTGTTATTTCAGATAATGTTGGGAATTATCTGTGACATTTTATTTCTCCAACAGGGGGCAGAAGGGCACATTTAATCCAGACAGATTTGTATGAGAGCTCACAACTTCTAGGACTTCATTTCTAATGCTATTCCCCACTAAAATGAGATAGGCGGGTGGACTGGGTTGCTTGGACACTGAAGTCACCATCAAATCCAGCTGCCTGTGTTGCATAAATTTATATGTGATACAGACTTCAAATTTAAATTTTATGATGTTCCTCTATCACGTTCCTCTCTCATTTTAAGAATGATAAGTCAAGTTAGGCAAAATACAAGAATCTTCTCTCCTTTGCAGCAGTTAGTTGCTGCAAATGATGCATTCAGAAATGTGCTCACCATCTGTTGGATATGTTTTAATAGGCTGAGAAATTATTCAGTTGTCCCAAACTGGTGTTGCAATACACCAGCCAGTTGAGAGTTACTGACAAACATTAAGAAACAATGCTGTCTAGACCTGACATTGGCATTGACAAAAGGTATTTAAAAACTATACCAACAAAGCTAAGCATATTTTGTTTGATTTCTATCAAAGTTTGAAAGTAGCATAGAATCAATATTCACATAGAACACAGTCCTCAGAACAATCAAGTAGATACGTACAGAACATTAGGATTGTGCATAGCATCTGCATTCCTATTCTGCATCAGGTTATAGTTTAAAATCTGTAAATATAAAGCACTGGTATAAAGCAGTCTGCCAGAGATTTAAGCCATCACAGTATAGCTGGAGCAGATTGGCACAGTGGATAATTACTTATGTATATCAGCTTACAATATGCAATATTCTGAGTGGAATAGCTGAAACTAAATTTCAATATTAACACAGAGATAGAGAGAACATTAAAAATATTGACAGCTTCAAAAGGTGTGAGATGCTGTGTGACTACAATATATCTCAACACTGTAAGGGTTAATCGCAATATTTTTGTCCATCAATGGCTTCTAGTGCTTAAAAGCATGGCCAAAAAATAAAAATTAAAAAAAAAAAATATCAGCAAGTCATATCTTTGTCACTTACACACATTCAACTTCTAGTTTTGAATCTGTAAATATCTGCTTTTCAAGATTAAATCAGTGTGAGATTTGAAGATGGTTGTTTTAAGTTTCAGTAAACTTAATAAGAAGATGACAAAGGTGATGGCAAGATCTGTAGTAAGAATATCCTATTTACAAGAGCTGCAGTAAAAGTGCCCCAGGCCATCTATTCAGAATGTAAGTTGCTGGATTGCAGAAGGTCTGCAGAGGAAAACATTGCTGAATGATTACTCTTGTGTTACTTTGTATTTGCTTATTAAAATGTTATTAGCAGAATTACAATTGCTGAAAGAAAAGCTAAGTAACTGACGATCTGTTTGATGGACATTAGAAATTGAATGATGCCTTTCTCACAGTAAAATTAGTCATCAAATAACTGACAATATGATTACAGATCTGAGCTCATCGTTAACTGTACACAGAATTCAAAAGGATCCAGGAATGACCTTTTTCTGTGGCAATCAGCTATGTGGTCATATGATAAATCATTAGTTAATATAACAAACAAACAAAACAAATGCCTAATTCATATTATGTGGCAGTAGAAAACGTAAATTCTTCTGCTTATTGGTACTTAGTATAAATAAGTGGTTGACATTTAGAACATCTGTAAGGTAAGTTGTTACTGAGTTCCAAGCAGTATCTGATCATAGAACGGTTTGAGTTGGAAGGGACTGTTAAAGATCATCTGGTCCAACTCCCTTGCAATGAACATGGATACCAACAGCTAGATCAGGTTGCTCAGAGCTCCATCCTTGAATTCTCTGTTTATGGGGCCTGTTTCTGCACATAACTGAAACACTGCTTCTGGAAATTCTTATTAAAATCCACTAATGATGAGGAATATGCCACACAGTGACAAACTACTTCTGAAAATATAGTAGAAATATGAACAGAACTTTGCATCACACCTTTCTCAGCAAAATTCAAGTCAGCTAGGGAGACTGTGTAACACTGAAGAAAAATCTCTCTTTGATTTGGGCAGTGTAAGGAAATTCTATTCAGTTTCAGCATGCAATTAATTGTTGCAATTAGTGTTGCCCTAATTTACAGTGAACACTGGGAAGGTTAATTCTCCATTCCATTGTGTCAATCTTCAGCAAAGCAAACCTGCCTTCCTGCTAACCAGAACTGATGAACGTTTTTAGAGAAAAAGCTTGCAAAGAAGCAAAACAGTACAAGGCCAGTGGACAGACAGCGATAGGAAGCTCACGGGAAAATTAAAGAGACATATCCCGATTTCACTCCCATATGGTTTGTGGTAGCGATGAAAGCTAAGGCTACAAGGCTTCTGCACCACCACCGCCAGCACTGGTTGATGCCTTCTGTGCTCCTCACACTGACCCCTTCTGACCCCTTCTGCAGCGTGCATCCCAGCCTCCAGCCCGGAGATGGACCCACCGCGGCTGTTCTGCCGCCGCCCTTTTTTCTGACCGCCCGCTCCTTCCTCAGGTCTGCACCGCTCACTCTTCTGCACAACCTCCCGGGAATCCCCTCCCGGTCCGCGCCCCTCTGCCCTTGCTCATGAATGAGGCACATGCGCTCCGAGCTGCTCGTAGGCCCCGGCGGCGCCGGCAAACGAGCGGGTAGGTGGGGGGCGTCTCCTTTCTCCTCCGCCCCTTCCCGCCGCTGTTTCTGCCCTCCTCCCCGCCCGCCTCCGGCTCACGAGATGCTGCTGCAGGCGGTGGAGGGGGGGCTCCTCCCTGCGTCAGGAGGTGCGGCTCCCCCGGCCCGCCACCACCCTTCCCCCTTCCTCTCCCCCCGCCGCTTTTATGTCTGTCTTTAAACGTCGCCGCCGCAGCCAGGGCTGGGCACGTGTGCGCGCCGTCGCCGTCTGCCCGCCGCTGAGCCCCTCGCTCGCGTAGTCCCTCTCGCTGCCCCGCGCGAGCACCCGGCTCCTTCCCACTGCCGGCGGCGGGCGGAGGAGGTAAGGCGACGGCGCCTGTCGGGCGTTAGGGGCCCCGCGGAGCCGCGCCCGCGGCCGGTGCGGCGGTGGGCGGCGGGATTGTCGGTCGCGCCCGTTCTGAGTCTGTGCCGCCGGGCGGGGAGCGGAGCGGGATGCCCTGCTCTCGAAGCCCGCTTTCCTGTGGCTCCGCGAGCAGAGAGCCGGCCCCTCGGGAGACAATAGCATGCGCCCGCATGTGTTTGAACTCGGCGGTGGGTTGCACGGATGTACGGTGCGCTTTCTCTTCCTTTTTTTTTTTTTTTTTTTTTTTTTTAATTCTTTTTTTCTTTACTCTGGCGGTGGATATACTTTCATTTCCTACCACGAGTGGCAAAAAAAAAGAAAAGAAATTCATTCATTCCTTCATCACCCGCACGTGACGTATACACCACCTCCAGCGCGAGTTTCAGTAGCAGAAGCGGGGCGAGGGTGGATGCATGGCAGGGTCTGTGTTCTGCGAGCGGCTGCCGCCGGGCTCCGACAGATGCGGGGCAGAGATGTGCAGGTCGCATCCATCCCCATCCCCTCCGCAGCCTCTTACGCTGCAGGAGCCGGGCGGAGAGGGCTCGGGCCTGGCTGCGCAGCGCTGTTGTCGCTGAGCATCGGGCGTCGCCCTCAGAGAGCGGCGCGGAACCTCCCAGCGCTACCCGCATCCCGCATCCCTCGGTCGGGGTGGCCAGAGCAGCACGGCAGGCTCAGGACCGGCGCGCCCCGGTGTCAGCCATGTTTGGGTGGGTATGGTAATGAGGACCTTTTTTCAACCTCCATGCGTCTGGCAGGTATATTGTGTTGGGGCTTGTAATGACTGCAGCCCTCTGTAATATCCACAGCGTGACAGATTGATGTCTGCACTTCTCATCCAAGTTTTAAAATCTCGTCTCTTTTCTTATTAAACCTTTCAATTTCCCGTGCCCACATTTGCATTAGGGTAAACTGGAATTTCATTGCAATGCTTTGCTTTTGTTGTGGAAGTAAATGCGATGCCCGTGCTGATTAGCCAGTTGAGAGCTTGCAATGGAATTTACTCCATTTCAGTAATTTGCACTTTGTTTTATTTTTAAAAGATACTGTAGTCAAGACCTCATCCTTATCAGCCATTTTATTTTGTCTGTGTGATATTGCTGTGCGTCAAGCTTGCTGCCGTAGTATTGATTTCTAAGAGAAGCTTAATTATTTTTAAACAGTAAGGCACTGTGAATATGGCACTGTTTCATGCTATAGGATGGAGATCCAAATCTCTGCTCCCCACTCAAAAGAAGAGTATAAATGAAGAAAATAAAATTTTCATGAGTTATCTGATGTAATGTTCATATGCACTGGGTATATTATCTGTCTATTATCCTGCTTTCTCCACTTAATAGAAAATGATAACAATATTCCCTTTTTTTTTTCCAATTTAGCATTGTGTTTCTCAGATATGCATTATCAATATCTTATTAAAAAGGAAGCTTTACCAAATACGTAGGTAGATTATTTTTTTCTTGGATAATAAGATTGTGATTTACACAGAGAACTTATTAAGACAACGTTAGAACTACAGCATGAGTCTGCATTTGCTGCACATAAAAAATTTCATTTGGGTTCAATTAGGCACTTCAGATTCAAGAGGAAAGAATTCAATCGGTTTTTGATCTATGGATGAAAAACCAATCCATTTAATTGCTGTTTGGGTGCTCCACCAATTCAGAAATTGAAGAAGTAAAACTGCTAAAGCACGTTGAAAATGCTTTTGCAGGCTAAGCTGATTCCTGTTGACCTCTAGTGTCTTGTCATTCTTACAGGCTTTTTTTTTTTTCTTTCAGGTGAGCAAGCAAAAAAGTAGTAGTGCAGAGGATCATATAGTCTGAACGATCTGTCAACTCTTTTCTCTGCTGTACATTGCAAAAGCCTGTATGCACAAAATTTTTAAGAAGTTGAATATATCAGTAGAGGAAAAAGAAATCATGGGTTATTCAGAAATATATTTGGGGGATAATAGCAAGAAAACATGCAATCTACTATTAAAGCTAATCCTTTTGGTATAAATTACTTTGCTAATGTGCATTGGGGTATTTGCTCTGGGGGGTGGTATGGAATTAAAACTCTGGGGAAGTGTTTGTGGTGGGAATCTTCTCAGGAAGACAGAATCTCTTCTGCAAACCTCTAGTGCACAACCAAGAGCATCCACAGATTTATGTGTGCACACCTATGTCCCCACTATTTTCCACTGTGCTTTTCCATTTACATCAAGGAATAATGTTCTTGTTCCAAAATATAGGATATCTGCTGATTTTTTTTTTTTTTTTTTTTGGAAGAACAACTTACTGGTAAACTATATATATACAGAAGGTTGTAAAAGAAAACGATGATAATATTAGAAGCAGGTATTCTATGTGACCTTTGAATTTTCCATTGGTTTGCAAAAGAACCCCAAAAAGTCAGAAGGATCATGAGGCCCCGCTTTCACGGTCTGTATTCGTACTGAAAGTCATCACTGACATATCAGCAGGTGGCATCCCAAAACTTTAGCAAATCTCTTTTGCTTGGAGTAGCCATGCCATTATTACTCAGGAAGTGTTCTAGGAGAACATATCAGTGAATAATAATAACTGAACATTATTCTTTCAAACAGCTGGATATTCAAAATCTGGCAAGTCCATACAAAATAGGATGAAGTAACAATAGTGACTGTTAGAAGAGTTTTTAGGGAATGAGAATATTTGGGCTGAGCTTCCCAGAACCCTGAATAGAAACAGAGCTCCTTGTTCTTATTCTTCATTCCATGAAGAATATGGAAAAAAGAAAAGAGCAAGGCTGTATAGTGCTGTGTACAGCAAGGCATTGAATCTAGTTCATGGTGCCAGTGGTCTTTTTTCCCACTTTGGGAAAACTGACTTTTGCTGCTGGCAGATGATATTACTATTTCAAGTGCCAGAAACGTATACTGCAATGCTAATGATTCAGCATACTCATATGCTAAAATGAATAAGGGATGAGAAATTGGAATAGGGACTTTATAGTTTTGGATTTTCTATAATGGAATTGAGATTAAATATTTTATTTTTTAAATTCAGGGATTTACTCTAACTTAATTTGAATGATTTATGTCATTAAATAAAACATTCTGCTTTGAGGACAAGCAGCATTTCTGATAACAGACAGTTTACATGTATATATATATATACATTGCTTATGTATAGAAAGCAGGCAAAGAAGTAAACACAGTTTTTGTTTGTTTTTTTTTTTTTCCCCCAAGGATAGTTTGCTTTACTTATTGATCCATTAGATGCGCAGGAGGCAAAATGTCTAACTTTCAGTATTTGATTTTTGTAACTTAAATAACTTCAGTTATTGAGTTATTTAAGATATTTTCATTTCCTCTCCCATCTCAGAAGTGTGTAAGAAGATTTTATAAAAATCATGGTTGTGTTGTGGCTTATATGGTTAATTTAGAAAATAGAGATTTTGTTTCACATTGCCAACAGTTATGACTATCATACTTTACCAGTCAACAGTTGGTACCTTCAGAATTGCTAGCGCAACTTAAGCTGGAAGAGTGGTAGCTACTACATTTGGTATTTGAATAAACCTATCAGGATAAATGATAGTTTTCTCCATCTGAATAGGAAATTACAGAGAGCGTCCCCTACAATTCTGTTAAGTATTGCAGTGGGGTTGATTTGTGAGAAGAAAATACAGAGAAACCTATGAAAGCTGGTGATAAACTACTGTAGGACCAATAAAGTTCAGAGATTGCAAGCAGTGTAAAGAAAAAAATGATGTTCAAAGATCTAGGTTGTAACGTTCTCTCTCAGATATTTCTCTTCACCCAGTGATGCTGATGAAATTGAACAGTTCTAAGAAGGAAATCTTACTTTTCCTGTTAAGATATTGTATTTTTCTTCAGACTGTAGAAAACATTTTCCAGTAACTGGACGAGACTAGTCTGGAAAAGAAATTGTTGGTGAATTCTCGGTATACAACAGGAAGAACATTTTGTAGGAACTGAGAACAGATTTCCAATGATACTAAGCAGACCCAGTGTCATTGAAGTCTGTAACTACCCATACTTACATCAGGTCTGAATTTAATCTTGTATATTTAAATACTTCTGCTGTAGTCTAAACGATTTAACTTTATGGACACCAGAAACAAACAAAAAAAAAAGTGAAATGTACATTAGCATGCCCCAGAATTACTAAAGAATCCACAGAATATAGTTATCTTTCATTGTGATTGAGTTAGACAGCCTTTGGTTCTGTATCTACTGCTAACGAGCTGCATTAAACCAGCTAGGGCGAAGTGTTAGATCATGTAATTCATACTGAAGAGCAGAATAATGACTCCTGGAGTGGATAGATCAAATGGACTTGACTAGGCAAAAAAGACTGTAGTGCAGAAGTCACAATGCTGCATTGCAACACTGATTCGCTTTGCTAAGTGTGTACTGTAAGCTGGTGTAACTCTGGCTGAAATAATTATCTGTTCACAGATTCTCCAGCAATAACCATTCTTCACGAGTTCAGTACTCCCACAAAACCTGCTTTGTTCTTGCAGTATTCTTTTTCTCTTACTTAAATATTATCCCATCCTGTTGGCACCAGTTACCCGATTCGTTATTGCGGAGTCTTTGGCTCCTAGAATGTAGTTTTTCATTTTCTGTATTGGTTGTAGACTTCATATTTAAGGTGCATTTTATGTGTTTCATCTTCATCGCTTTTGCATGTAGTTCTCATCCGTTAAATTTGATGTGTGTTTCAGTCAAGATCTTTCTGAATTTCTGCTGTGGTGAGAATCCTGACTTTTTGTTCTGTGTCTTCTGCTGAATCATGATGGTCAGGGTGGAGATCTAGTCAAAACAGGCAGTTTTGCTAAGCTTTTGGGACTTAGCTGGTGCACTGTGCTCTCATAATCTACGCTCAAGTCAGAGATTAAAATAACTTCAACTTGTTGCAGCTCTATATTGCATTTTGCTACCCCTAGGGTAGCATGTTAGTACCTTGATTGCTTCATCAGAGAAGATCAACGAGCTTTGAAGAAATGAGCATTAATATTTTTCTCCCTGCCTTTAATGGCAAGCGCTGAACTTAAAAAGGTATCCATTATTTCCCTTTCTCAATTTATGATGTTACAACAGCATATTATAACTTCTAAAAGTTAGTTTGTATGAACTTTCTTGATATCCTTTTGTGAAGTACAGACACTTTTTTTCCTTCTTCTAGCTTAGACAAAGATCGAAACCATTTTTTATCAAAGAAGATTTGAGGATTATTTTGTTATTTGTTAAAATCTGAGTGTAGAAAAATCTACTGAATTGCTATATTTTGATTACAGCTAACCCTAGTACAGTTCCTTTACTAGAGAATACATTTAAGGAAGATTAGGAGAAAATGTTATGAAGCAAAATGTTTCTGAATGGGTGTTTTTGTGCTTTAGCTGACAAACTTGTCTCAAGTCCTAATGGAAATGCGTGCAATTTGGTCAGCTGAGACTGCCTTTCTTATCTCCCTGAGCCAGCATAACAAAATTTGGATTTGAACCTGAATTAAAAGTTGTATAGAGAGCTCAGATCTGCTAAGCAGCTAATTTGGATCTGAATTTTGTATTGCAAGGGATCATTGTTGCTTAATCTGCTAATAATATGGCATTCTAATTAGGTTTCTTTCCCTCTGCATGCTGGTGTGTTAGGACTTGATTCTTCCATGAAGGAAAATAACAAAATTCCCACTGTCTTAGAAGGAAAGCCTGATTCTGCAGTTTTCTTGATGTAGCAGAGAAGTCCTTTTATCTTTCAGTACCAGAAAGAAGTATAAATTTTAACATATCAAGGCTAATATTAATAAGACATCTTAAATATCTAGTTAGGTTGATTTGGCAACTTATTTCCAAAAAATCAGATTTTTGAACCCTGGTAATCTGCAGCGATTTCTGTTCTGTTAAATTTCCTCAAACAGTAGAGGTGATTGTCAGGTCAATTTAAGATTAACTTTAGGTTTTTGAAGTGGTATTTTACATGAGAAAAAGGATAGCATCTTTCTTTGCTGCTTTAAATTGTGGATAAGTCCAGAGAAAATTGATGGTCTCCAATACATATGATAAGAAGTTTCCTTTAGTGTTTTCATTTGATGCATGACATCAGTTAAATTATAAAAAGGATGAGTTATACTGCTCAGAAGCAAGAATGAAATCAGCTATCTAATTCTATGAAGTAGATCTCAAATAGGAAACAAAACAAAACAAAAAACACAAAAAATCCACAAGAAATAGCTTTAATAGCTACTAATTTAATTTAAATAGTTAAGTTGTGTTGTGTTTTTGACATTTTACTTTTAAATGCACTGTGCTAGTAATGGTGTTATATAGTGATATTTTACCATACATGACAAGATTTAAGACTTAGTGCTTAAAATGATGACAGTAATGCCTGAGTCTGATACCAGATTCTGTAATTGGTAAATGTGGTGGTTTTATTTATCTTGGGAGAGTACTTTGGACATACTTAGGGGAAACAGGCTGTAATGCTTTATTACTTATACAAGTCTATATAGAAGATAGCTAGAAGTGGAATTCAAAGAGCAGTTTAACAGAATTTGGCTTTATGTTTCTTAATTATGTCTTGATCATAATCAAGAACTCCATCTCTGTACTTGACAAGAGCCAAGTTACTTGGGAACCTAAAACAGTATTTTATAGGTAGGAATTTTACTGTACAAAATAAAGTTTATTCAGTGATTCTTGATTATCCAGCTCTGCCAGTGGGTGATTTTTACCAGTTGTCTTCTCATTCAGAGTCATATCTGTACTCTGCTTGGGCTGAGTAGTTTGGAGTTTACTTTCTGTGCAGAGGGTGCACAGGGTGATCAGAGAAAGGGTTTTGTGCAAGTCTCTTGGAGTGTGTTCTGAGAGGGCCCAGCACAACATCAGAGCCCTTGAACAAATCGACTGAGACCACATTTTAACAAAGGGAACCTGATGGTAGAGTCTGCTGAGGTAGGACTGTGTTTTGTTTACTGTAAACCTTTAGTACAGAAAACAAGTTGTAAACTCTGAATTCACCTGTGGATTTGTGATGTATCCTGAAGGACGTGAGCAGTGTACTCTCTGATGCAGTCTAGATGGTGATACATATTCAATTAGCAAATCAGTGCTGTTGAAAACGAACATTGTCCCATCAGCCTGCCGAGCATGCCTCCAGCATTTTCTCAGATATTGCAAACCTGTACTATGATATTACTATTGATAACAGCCTGCTTAATGGAAAGTTAATGAAAAGAAACTTAATATGATATCGTGCTAGGAATAGCAATATCAGGCCCAGTGTATTTTGAAGTGTAGCAATGCAGTGTTTAATGCATGAGAGGACAGGCAGAATGATGCAATTTCTGTTGGCATTGACTCACCTGGGGACAGCAGCAGATAAATCATACTGCTACCCTGCAAGTTATTGCATCTGAAGTACCTGTATAGATGTGTCCTTCTAAAATATTTTAATAAATACTGATAAATGGCTGTTTCTTACAATTGAAAAAGGATTTTGGACATACAGACAAATTTTGATGTAGATTTACTTCTGCAACTTTTACATAAAGAACAGAGGTAAAATTGTTTCATTTTAACTTCTTACTGCTCAGTGTTGTTACTAATGAACGGAACTGAGAAGCTGCATTAATTTTCATCAATGATAAGAAAGAAAAAGTTGGAAAGTGAATAGAAGTAGCAGTTGAAGTAACAGATGCTGTGGTTTGAAATCCCAAAGCTCAATTAGGATAAATGCTTCAATTGATGTATTATTGGTGTTTGCATCCTGTGTCTACCTAAACATCAGTCGCAGCTACAGCTGCTGAAGATTGACTAGAATCTTCACACAGTTCTTTGAAGAGTTTGCAACCTAAAAGGTGAAATAGATAAAGTTGCTTTCCCTGTTACACTGTTCTGTATCCTCTTACTCTTACACTTACTTATTTTGAAGAGCTAGTTTCAGAGAGAAAACAAAGCCTGCTATTAGGTCCACCACATGTTCGAAGGAACATTTATAGGACCTTGAACCCTTTCAGCATCAGTGGTGAGCTGTGAATCAGATCACAAACCAGCTCTACTGTGCTTTAGAAATGTGGGATGTATGCCCATAGGTGAAGTTGGTGAGAAGAGGTAGTGACAGAGGGATGGGGAAGGTGAGAAGTCAGTGACAAGAATCTAGGGAATGAATGGAAAGAGATTACAGTGTAGTTCAGTAGGCAACTGGAGTGAAGTTCAGCTTCAGAATCCTAGGAAACTATCAAAAAGTTAATTATCCTATCAAACCCAAGGCTGATAATAGCACTTGTGCTCACAGAGGTTTTAGTGCTGTTTTTGTGAGTGTCTACTGGATAAGCTGTGGGCTGCATTCCAGTGGCTTAACTTCTTTCTTTGTGACCTGTCACTAGGCACTGAAGCACTCTTGAGGTCTCAATTATTGTGCTGTCGGTCCAGTAATAGTATGAACAGTTCTCAGCTCTATGTGAGTTCCACACAGTATAGTACAATCTTCATCTTATGGACCAGATATTGTAACAAGTTCATATGCAAAATCAGAAAGTTTGCATGTATCCTCTAGTAATTTCTGATTCTCATCAGTCAGGAGTTTTGATTAGACTCTGTGTGGAAATCTAGTCCTGCTTTAGGGTTTTCAAGAAGCTTAACACATAATCTAAATCCCTTTTAAGACTCTTAATTGTGCAGATGGTTTTGTACGTATCAGTTTTGTCCCATGTGAATAGAAGAGAATTTCTGAATTTCTTGAAAAAAAAAAACCTCCTACCCAAATTCCTGCCTTCAGCATGGCAGCTGCAAGGAAGTCCTTCAGTCCTTATAAATGATTCACTGTGTTAAAGAAAAGCATGTAAGTATAATGCAGTTTTTTTTGTTTTTTATTATTCTCTGTACATGCACTTTTGAAACAGTAGGCTTTTCCAATGGGTTTGGTAACAGCTTCTCAAATGTTTTATGTATGTTTAGTTACTTCCTTTTTTCCAAGAAAGCATTACAGCTCAGAAGAGAGGAAGCTATCTCCTTTGAAAATATGATTGTGGTTATGTATTCCTAGATGAAGAATAAATAAGTCTCCCTTGCTTTTGAAGTGCTGAGTTTGTCCTATACATCAGCATCTTAATTGCTGTGTGACTTAATTGCTGTATGACTTTCAGAAATGGTCCCCAAACATTAATCTACTTTGCTTGAATTGTTTTTTAAATAAACTCAGCAGTTCCATAGGGCTTCTAAGTCAGGAAAGAATGGAGCTGGTCTCCTAAATTGTATGCAGAGTGTACGCCCTGTTATGTCTAGTAAGGAGAACCTGATTATGCTTCCAGAGTGAAATACGAGCAATTGGCCTATCAGTCTTTAGGAAACAAATGAAAAAACAATAATAATAATAAAAACAACAAACCCTCAGCAAGTGAATGAAATGCATTTTATATGGAAACTTAGGACCAAAACATGAATTTATGACCAGCGATGTGAAAGCAATTTAATATCTCTTCTTTTTCTCTTCTCAGACCTTGCAGATAAGGGAAATTGGATAAACCAGAACATACAATTACTAAATTAAGTTCTGCATTGTATAATAATATTCTTTTTTTTTTTTTTTCTTCCCATAGATACTTTCAGTAGAACAAACATTCAGAAACAAAGAAGTCCGTATTTTTGATTCACTGCTATCAAGGACTTAGGCAGCATCTTTATTCTATTTCTGCAAAATTTTTTGCCCAGCAGAGCGAGAGCTTTCTTCAGCACTTCTCCATCTGTCCCAGTTGAACTTGACTTCTGTATTTTTCTCATATTACAAATGCCTAAAAACAGCAAGGTAGTGAAGAGAGACCTAGATGACGAGGTCATTGAGTCAGTTAAGGACCTCCTCTCTAACGAAGACTCTTCAGATGATGCCTTTAAGAAGAGTGAGCTGATGGTTGGTGATCAGGAAGAAAAAGATGTGGATGTTGAAGAAGGCTCAGATGTGGAAGATGAAAGACCTGCTTGGAATAGCAAACTCCAGTATATTCTGGCACAAGTTGGATTTTCGGTAGGATTAGGGAATGTGTGGCGATTCCCATATCTGTGTCAGAAAAATGGTGGAGGTAAGTTTTGTGATAGCTGTAGCTAAATGATGAAGCTAATCATTATTATTTAACAAGATTATTGTTAGCACACATACAGTAACACCTACTGCAGCATGTTAGATTTTTCTTTTAATTTCTACCACACCTTTTGAGGAAAAATCCACGTTCTCTTTATTTAGTGAGACAAATCTGCTACAGTAAGTAGGAGATAATTATAAGATTCCATTTTCTTGTTTTGAGGCAGAAAGTGTCTTAACAGCTCTTGGGACTTTCCTATTGGTTAACCAAAACCCTGCTAGGTCTTTCTGGAGGTGATGCATTATTTAGAACCTGGTTATCATAGTGCTAAAGTGTTCTTAGTAGTACTTGGGGAATAAATCAAAGCATTAAATCTACTTCCACTTTAAATACCAAAGCACTATTCGGTCTTTACTATTTAGCTTCAGAGCTTTTCTTTTTGATTACCTTTAGCTCGTAGTTCTTTATTTACTTCCTGTAGATTAGCAAGTGAATTTTTTTTTAACTGATAATGATTAATTTGCATCATAAAATTTACATTAATGGAGTGTATCTGTTTTATGCTGTTACATAGTTCTGTTTTCCTAAATATTTTACCTTTTGCTTAAAACATTATTTATTAGCTGTTCATTTATAGTCTTGAGCATAGAAGAAAGTAAGTAGCTAGAGGCCTTCCTCTGGGATTAGTATTTTATCCTTTCTGTACTGTACTCTGCTATACTACATTAATGTTCATTCTATCATAGCTAGTTAGCTGAATTTGAAACAAAACGTAGTTTTTATGATACAAAAACTGAATCCATGATATAGAACATAAAATGAAAAATAACATATAATTCATACTGGATTCTAAAGGTTGAATGGCAAGATTGATGCAAATGAGAAGTAGAGAATTTAGTGTAGAGTATAATCAGCATATATTTCTCCATTTTCTCTTATTCAGTTTAAAAGCTAAAATGGGAGATTTCTACTTTCACATTTTCCATCTCCATGATAAAGTGTAAATTCTTTTACATTTGCTTAGTGCAATAATTTTTTTTCACACTTGTTTTCAACTTTCTTTTCTTTATTCTGGAGAGAAAGTCATATGGTCTGTATGGAAGATAAAATTTTCTTGATCTGTAACTGTGAAACTGTGTAACTGTAAAACTGAGAAAACAGAAGTTGTATGTAGTTTCTCAAAAAAAAAAAAAAAAAAAAAACCAACCCAGATTTTCAATGAAACACAGTGTCATCTAGCTTACTAGATAACTTAGAATCAGTCATGAATCACTATTAGTTGAAAAATTAATACTTCTATTAAATAATTCTAGAGCAAACTGATGCTAGTTGAAGTTGTAGCTATTAAAATGTTTATATTCTAGATAACTTCATTGTAATGATCAGTCAAGATGTAGCTCAAGACTAATGCATTGCAACAGTTTGAAACTATGAATTTAACTTGGTTGCTAATTTTACAAGACAGAGGAAAGCAAGTGATGATTAGAGCTAAGGCTTCCTTGGCTTTCACTCTTTGGTCTCTCCCAGAGAATGTTTATTGTAAGAGGGGATCAAAGAAGCTAGTGTGCAGCTGTAAGGGACTTCAACATAACAAGGGATGTAGCTGTAACACAGCAAGTATTAAGAGAATTTGAGGCTTCAGTAGAGTGCATTTACTTGGCTTAGAATGAGGAAGCACTCAAAGGAGTTTTAGGATCAGTGAGTAAGGGTGTGAAAGTGTTCAGAAGACCTGATTATAGATCTTTGACTCCTTCACTATCCTCACTAGAGATCCACCTTCTCCCTGGTAGGCAAAACCCAATCTCCTCTGTTGCAACCTATGGATTAAAAAGCTGATTATTCCTCAATGACTCACAAAGGTTGTTTGCATCAGAAATGAGTATACTTAAACTAAATTAAAAAGTTTTTTTATATTAACCATTTTTACACTATACAATTTATTTATTGCTATATGAGAACAAAGATGTGTGGTTTTTCGGATACACACTTTCTGTATAAAAACTTAATAACAATTTCAGGAATAGATGTCAAGTTAGAAAGTGAAACAAATTGATATAGCAGTTTAGCTGTGCATCTGTCTTTTAATTCGTGTTGCACTTGGAGCAAAAGACAATAAGTAACAAAACAAGTTTCTGATAGAAAATATAACTACTCAGGGTAGACTGTATCACATGTTAGTGAAAACTAGCAAAATTTCAAGGAATTCACAATGTTTTCAGTCAGCTGGGGATATAGCCAATGTGAATAAAAGAAAAATAACAGCATGATAACAACTCATAGTTTTTTTAGACAGTGGCATGGGTCTTTGTCTTTCAATATTTAATTATAGTCACAGTGAAGTTATATAAGATAGGAGAGCTGATATGTAACAGCTGATACCACCACATGGGAGGGTTCTCTCTCATACTCCACTCAGTTTGCCCTTGCACCTGGCTTCAGTTCTGCTGCCTTCTTTCCTTGTTTTTGGTATCTATCAGATTCTGTGGATTCAGTTGGAACCTGAAGCTCTTCAACCCATTTCTCTGAGAATATGTCCTAATCACAACATCTGGACTGTTTGAATGAGAAAGGAGTTTCTGAAGTTCAGGTTGTTCAGAAAAGGGCAAATTGTTTAGAATAAACTGGAAGAGAGGATCTGGAAGACCTTAACCCAGATCATTAGCACACTCACTTTTTTTTGATCCATATTTTGCTGTCTGCTAGTGCACTTTATTCCTTAGTTGATGACGTTTTAATACGTTGATTTATTTCAAAACTGGGATGATTCTTTCCTGCCTGTGAAGTCATGCTATCTTTTGTGCCCTGTTGTGGACAAGTGACCCCGGTCTTCGTATTTATTCAAAGATAATGCCTTCTATTTGCTTCAAAGGGAGCCACAACAGAGACAAAGAACACAATAACACTACTTGATAGACCAAGTTCTCAGTTACTAAACACTGTTTTCAACATAGTCACCACCCTTAGAGATGCATTTTTACCAGTGATGAACAAGAGCCTGCATGCCACACTCTTAAAAATCTGTATGGTGATCCAGAACATGGATGTTCTTCACATCCACGTTTTTCACATCTCTGTCACCAAAGCTGAAACACGCCACCCACATACCACTGTGCTCACGTACACTATTTGGTCTCTCTAAACTCTTAGCAAGCATCAAAGAGTGTCAGTGGGTGTCATTTTTTTAATGTGGCAGAATTCAGTGACACACCTTTGCTTCATATGCAATAAAAACAAGTAAACAAAAGATAAACAGATAAAAGATGTGACTAGCATGAGAAAATCTATAGCAGATTAATTACCAGTACATTTTGAAAAGAGTGATGTGAGTGAAATCATATCAGGAGGTTTCATAGTTAAGGAGTCTGGATTTTGTATTGAAATATCAGCAGATTGAACAGTTTTATTCTGTGAGCTTATGAAAAACAAAGCAACTCTTTCTAAGAACTACTGTAAATAGAGGAAATAACATGTAAACTCTTAAAGACTCGGCAGTGACTGGACAATTTAGTCTCATTGTCAAATTTTAGAGGAATGGGAACAAAGCAAGTACTCTCTTGTATTTCCAGCACTGATAATATATTCAGCAGCTATGTTACTTAGCTTTTTATCAATAATGTGTAATCAATGGTTTGTGAATTCTTAATTTACACTATAGCGTCAGGCTCATGAAATTTAGTTTTATCTTATTCAGTGCACTGAAAATGCCTGATTTTTAATTTGCAAGTTTAATTCTTCATTAGAGCTGATTGGCTAAGGGGATTTAAATGCAATTTTGTAAATAGGCACACATGCTAAATCTGTGTAAGACTACTGACAAGAACACCATCCAGTCAGTAAAATAGGCTGTAAACCTAGTGATAAAATATAAAACCTTTGTTAGTAGGGTTTTCTTGATAAAAGCAGTTTGTATTTTGTAATGGTGAATAAATTCAATTAAAGTAGTTCAGTGGACTGTGAACCTTTTATGTTTTGTTGTTCACTTTAATAAATTTGAAGATTTTAACATTTGATATTCAAAATAAGTTAATTTTCATATTGGTAAGATCTTCTTGCAAACTTTCTATTAGTAAGTATGCTGTAAGTTACAAGAACGCTGATGTCTTATCAAGGCATGGTAAAACTCACCTTCACTGAGTAAGAACTGAATCATGGAATCATAGAATCATAGAATCCTCAGAGTTGGAGGGGATCTTTGGAGGTCATCTAGTTTAACTCTCCTGCAGTGAACAGAAATGAAACAGTAAATGAAAAACTACCGCAGCAGCAAGTGAAACAAATCTTTAAAGATTTTAGATTTTTCAAGTGACTTCAAGGAAAAGAAAAGTTCTGTGCTATCCGGATGATAATTGTTATGTTATATTCTTCTGAAACTGTTTTCTGACACTTCACTCACTAAAACCCATGCCATTTTCTTTTCTTTCTTTCCCTCTTCTTTTCTTTCTTAATTTTTTTTTTTTTTTTGGACATTTATAAAAACTTAAATAAAAAGCAATGGTAACATTCCATCTCTATCAATAATTGCTCAATAATCAATAATTGCTAAGCTTAGTATTTATTATAGTATAAAGAGAAATTATTAGGTATCTGATTATGGTACTTGGCTAAATAAAAAAATTAAGATTAAATCTGTGTTCTGCACAATATAAATATTCACTAGGTCTGAAAATCAAGAAATCATTTTTATTTCTGCTATTAATTCTATTTATTTTATTAACTCTAATGAAAAAGAATGTCATATATTTTGAATGCACATTTTTTCCTTATGAAGTTGAGATGAAAAATGTACAGTAGTGGGTTTTTTAATAGAAAAGCCAATGTTTAAGACCAAAATATGCAAACAAAGTGATTTTAGAATTGAGAGGTTTTTGAACTATAGAAAGGAGACCTGGGGATACTGAACCACAAAACTGTAACCACCAAAAAGTTGTTCAGTTGGCAGATGTGTCAGACAATATGAATGTAACTAATTTTAGGATGCTGTTCAAGGCTGGCATGTATAGTTCATTGTTTTAATTCAAATAAAAATGATCCTTATTCAATATTGCTATCCAAGTACACATGTTTTCATGGACTGGCAAATAAAAGACATTCTGAACTGTTTCCATAGTGATTCTGTTTTATGATGAAGTGAAGGTGACTTACAGATTATTGAAGTATGTCTTGCTTCAGGGAAGGATCCAACAAAATACTTACGATGAGATACTGTGGAGTATGTGAGCTATAGGACAGAGATGCATTTTGCAGCTTTGATACAACAAGATCATACAACTGTGTATCTAAAACTCATTGTATTTAAACCCAGATGTGCACCGTTGACTGTTGTGTCCTTACAGGGATGATCAGAAGGACCTCAGCAGGTCCTGTGCACAAGCCCTGAAGTAAAGAGATGATATCCACTGGCCATCCATATTGAATTACAGGGTTGTGTAACATATAATGTAATGTGGATTTAGCACCACATTCATTTAACTCATTTAGTAGAATCTGACTGATAAATCTTGCTACTTACATTGATACTGCACCATAAAGCAACCACATCAGCCCAGTCTTTAAACATGTGCTTAACTTTGCAGCCTTGTGATTAAGGTTGTGGACTGGGACACAGAAGAGCTGGGTTCAGTTCCTGCTCTAGTGCAGTCATCCAGAGGGATACAGGGTAAGTCACTTAGGCCCCAATTTTTTTGAGATGTTTAGGCTTTTCTCTGCCTAGCCGTGCAATACCTACCTAATTAAGGTATTAGGTATAATTTGCAGTAGTGTTATAGTATCAAAAAAAAACTATGTACAATTGGTTTCAATGAATTGTACAACCACATTTTTAAAGCTTGTGAAGCCTAAGCTTCCATGTCCTGTTTACAATGTGAATTATCAGTGTAGTCCTGTCTCACAGAAACTTTGGGAGAATGATGGTGATAAAACAAGAGTACTTAATACTATTATATGTCTTGTACATTCTTTGACAGGCCCCCTCATTTTGGAATGTTGTTGTTACTCTATTTCTCAGTTTTCATCAGATCTATTTCCTTCTATCCTGTTCTTTTTTGTTTGTTTGTTTTTATTTTTTTATTTTTATTTATTTATTTATTTATTTTCAGTAGGAAGTAAGTCCTTTGTGTCTGTAACATTATGTGCATATACAATGCAAACCACAAGAGATGCCAGAGTACAAACTGGGAATGTAGCTGTTTCTGCAGGACAAAGAATATTTCTATCACATGCTTAAGCAGACAGTATATGAAATAGGCAGTTATACCATGATATTTATCTCTGTGAGGTAGCACGCAGAATATTCTCTAAACTAGTAGTTTATTCAGAGCCTGGTGTAGTTTTTGATCAAATGCTGCTCTATTGCTTTCACTGCATTATCATATTGTCATGAAAATAAAACTCCAAAAGCCGTTTCATTGCTGACAGTAGCCTAGAGACTGTAGGGTAGATAGGTTCAATAGATTCTTTGTCTGGTCCATCAGTAGTTGTCTTTTTATTTATTTATTTAATTTTTCCTCTGTATTTTTTTCTTATTTTTCTTAGACTCAAAACTTCAAGTTACTTTATTCTTAGGATCTTCATAAATTCTTTATAACCAAAGGTGATGATGATGTTCTGATGTCCTCGTTGTGTGTGTTTCATGAATAGTAAAATAGGAAATAGACCTAAACAGGAGCAAGTGGTACCATAAAATCTGATGCTTCCTGCACTCCTTATGAAAGTTTAACTTTTCTAAAATAAAGCCTATTCCCTGAGATGAGCCACCTACTAAGGATATGTAAATGATAATGTGTTTTGATAGACTCTTGAAAAAGCCCTAGAAGGTTGTCATGGGGTATGGAAACCACTTAGCTAGAGCTGAGGATAAATCCAAAATTGACTTTTGAACTGTGCTCAGCTTCTCTCTCATCACATAAGTGATTAGATACTGTACTAGCTCCATCTTCGACCTGTTGTTGTGTAGACTGCTTTGACAAAATCTCAGGTGAATTTCTTTAGCCTTACAGTGTTGCGATTAAAAGACTTAGTTTGGGTGTCCAGCACAGTACTCTATATTGCAGCACATGAGTCACACATTTGAAAATTAGGTACTGTCTTTCTAATTGCTGCTACCTAGATTTTGTTTCAGCTGTAGTCCTATATATTCCTCATCAGCAAAGGTGAAATTTGACTCCAAACTGTCAGTGCACTTAACATGTGAATTTTGCTTGCAAGTAGTTTTGCTGGTGGAAATAGATGGAGATACACCTTGAAGTTAAAACTGTATGTGACCACTTCCTGGGAATACAACCTTGAAAAGAGGAAATGTTTTACATACTTATAAAAGTTGAAGTAACAGTTGCATTCTCAGAAGTCTTTAGCAGGAGCTTGTGAATAGTCCAGGTGGGCTATCTGGTTCTCTGATAACCCTATCTCACTTCTACCTCATGCCTAGAGTCTGGTAGAAATGGGGCAAGGTGGTTGTTTGCTTAGCTGAATAGGATCACTGTTCTGCCCTTCCCAAGCATCTGAAGTGTATGTGGGGAAAAAAAAAAGTCTTTTGAAACTGCACTGAAGATTGGATGAAATTCAGTGTTGTAATAGCGCAGCACACTCTGTATTTCCTTTATAAATTGAAGCTTGCTACTCTGTTACAAGTCCAAATTCAGAGATTTTTTTTAGGAAATGATGATTGTACGAAAGAAGTTTGTTCATGTGCCCAGATTTTCACATAAGCAAAAGTAATGACTCGAACAACCAAGATTAGGTAATGATTCACTTTTAGTAAAGTTTGCCTCGAAACATTTCAGTGCTTTAGGAATAAGCTATCTCATGGCTTTTCTGATCTTACAAGATTTATGATCAACATCCAAGTAAAATCACTCTTTATATGCAATAGAAAAAGCTTTGCAATGAATAATGCAAACTTGAAGGTATATGAGTTATGTCAGACGGTGGCTTTATTCACTCAGATTTCTACTTTGTTCCTTTTGTAGGTGCCTATCTTGTGCCATACTTAATCTTGCTACTGATCATAGGGATTCCGCTCTTTTTCTTGGAGCTTTCTGTGGGGCAGAGAATCCGCCGAGGGAGTATCGGCGTATGGAATTATATCAGCCCTAAACTTGGAGGAATTGGATTTGCAAGCTGTGTAGTAAGTTTGTTTGTTTTTTTTTTTTAACCTTAATTCACTTCCAATTTGTATGATTTAGACTTTCTGTTTTCCTACAAGGAAAAAGCACTGACCTGTAGCTAGGCTATAAGTTCAATTTACACTGTTTAGGAAGTTCTTAAGTTAGTACAGTAAAAATGCTTATATGGATGTACTTGTTAAACCAGTTAACTTGTTTTTTATGATTCATTGGAGATTAGGAACTTGGGAACAGATTAGGCTTCTGGGGGGGAAAAATAAGCCTGTGAAAATATAGATGTCATATGATAAATACAGAGAAAAATGAAAGTGAGAAAGTCGTCATTAAACAAGGTTTAAGAGAACAACCCAGTCAGTTCTTATTCTGACTTATTTTAGTGAAAATTAAGTTGTATGTCTGACCTTCAGAAATCTGCAAAATTGTAATGTTAATGGGTGTTTTTTTTAATTTTTGAATTAAAAAATGTAGTTCATAAATTTTACTTTTTTTGGTATGTCTTTTTTTTTTTTTTTTTTTCTTTTTTGTCCTTTTAATAGGTATGCTTCTTTGTGGCTCTGTACTACAATGTCATTATTGGATGGAGTCTGTTTTACTTTTCCCAGTCTTTTCAGCATCCGTTGCCATGGGACCAATGTCCTCTAGTAAAAAATGCATCCCATACATGTAAGTCTGTTAACATTCTTTTGTATCATGCAAACACAAGTCCGCACACTAAGTAAAACCAAGTCTTTCTGCTGAATTTCACTGGATTTTCATCAAGGCTTATTGGGAAAAAAGTATGAATTAAAGGCTGCTTTTAAAACTATCTCTTTTTATTGCTGGTTATTGTTGACATAACTGAAGAGAACGGAAAAGAGATTTTATTGTCTCTTTTTTTTTCTGAAATGCTGAATAGTGTTTCCTTCTTAATACTCTATTGTCATTTTGTCAGTCACATCAAGTTTGAGATTTTCAAACTAAAAAGATTAAAAAATGTGCTTTAAACAGATGTTTGTGGGAAAAAGTGTTACACACAAAGCTGGTATTGCATTTTAATAAGAAAAAATACAACAACTAATCTAAGACAATTGCAAAGATTTTGAAAAAGAACATTGCAGTCAACAGCATTTGTAATAAGTAAGTATGTTGCAGAAAAAAAAATGTAAAATACAATTTCTCGTAACTTCTTTCTGATTTTGATACTGCTTTTCATGGTGAAAAACAAAGGCAGAAAAGTTGTTTCTCCATTTCTTTTAGTATGAAAGACATCCTGGAGATAAAGTAAGAGGGGTTGCACTACTAACAAAGCAGAAAGTGGAAAACTGTAAACATCAATGAAATTTGTATGGCTAAAGCACTTTTTGCTTTGTACACCAATAACAATTAGATCATTGGTCTTCTTTTTTGTTGTTGTAATATGTCTTATATGGAAGTGTTATGCAATAGCATGAAAAGTTTCCTATACTTTGATTTCAGTTGTGATAATTGCACACGTGGGATTTGTCTCACTATTGAAATATGAAATATTTGTTTTAATGTATTTTTAAATCAGATCTTAAATTTTTATTTATTATCTTTTGTATTCCTCTCCCCCTCCTTTAACGAATACCATAACTACGGATATTTGAAAAGCTGTATGATGTTTTTAAATGGTCTTTGCAAGAGTTGCTTGCTTCAGTTGTTTGAAATAAATAATCAGTATTTGCGAATGTTGGCACTCATTAAAATCAGCTGTATTCCACAAGCATTGGACTACAGGACCACGGTTGAGCCACAGTTTTTGTCTGTTTACGTGTTCTTATCCTCCTCAAATGGTAAGACAGAGTTTTTCAGCCTAACTTCAGGAGAGGTCGTTTAAACCAAGCTAAAACACAGAAAAGCGTTACATTTGATATCATCCTGACACTTTTGACAGTTTATTTTGGTGAAGATCTGATGCCTGCTGTATTTTTCCCTTGTTTTGTTTAATCGCCTTCACTCAGGACCTAGCTTAAAAATATGATTGATTGTCAAGAATAATTTATAAAAATGTCAAGTAATTTTTTTTTCTTTCAAGAATTATTTCTGTTTCTTTGTGTTATATACCTAGATGCACAAAATTTCTTAAACTGTTTGATAATATGAATAAGGCAGAATTATAGTACAGTAAAAGTAACTGTTGGAATGTGTAGCACCTTTCCTAAGAACGTAGGCATGAAGGAGCCTTTTTTTCATTTTCTCATCACTTTAATATTGCTGTGTTATTAACATTTGTAATTAAGTCTGTTGATTTGATTTCTGTGTCAAAGCAGACACAATTGATAATGATCTTCGTATTTTTTTCAAAATTATTGGAACTCAGCTTTCAAATTCAGAGGGAGAATTTTCACAGAGAATAACTTGCGGTTTTATGTATAGAAAATCTAAAGGGTTAAAAATGAAGTGTAAGTCTTTATCTACTTAACTAAATAATTATTTCTGCTGAGGACTTGTATTGACGATATGGAGAGGAGTATGTAATACCAAAAGAGTCTTTTAAAAAGTTACATCCAGAACTTTCAATTGATAGCAGTTCCATTTTCTTTTACTCTCTGAATTCAATTTCTCTGTCAGCATTGAAGGCATGATTGAAATTATTGGAAATTGATACAAGTTTACAGTGAAGTGTTGGGAAAATACTTCTGTCCTAAACCAATCTTTACTTGCTAACGTGTCTTGACAGTTGTGGAGCCAGAGTGTGAAAAGAGTTCTGCAACAACCTATTACTGGTACAGGGAAGCACTGAATATTTCCAGCTCTCTGTCAGAGAGTGGGGGTTTAAACTGGAAGATGACTATCTGCCTGCTGGCTGCCTGGGTCATGGTATGCCTAGCCATGATCAAAGGCATTCAGTCTTCTGGCAAAGTGAGTATGCTGTTTACCTAAATGACAAGTATTTTACTTTGAAGCATTTAAGGGTTATTTCACTACATTTTTTTTTCACCACGCCCTCTGTTCTTTCATTAAATATGTAGGAGTAAGCTGGATGCTGTGACTCACCCCACTGTTTGTACAATCCCAACTCTTAGTTAAGCATTAAAACTAGTATTTTTCCTTGGGAACTGTAATTTAGCAGGGATTGAGATCTGAAGAAAAATGATTTTGGTTCTTATCAACATAACTGTTGCAAATAACTGGAACTTGGCCTTGTTGAACTGTTAATGCAGCATGAGCTTGTGTGCTTCTGAATGTCTAGGAAATTAAGTTTCTGAGTATATCTGTAATGCTTAGAATGATTGCAATTTACCTAGGCCCTCAAAATTCCTTGCATTTGCTTTTTATTGCTACTGTCATCATTATCCATGCTTCTGTCATTATCACAGTCAGGATTCTGGGTTGTTTCTTTGATTAATGACCAAACATCCCTTTGGATCTGAGTACATCACTTTGACTTCTTTCCCATCCAGCCACATAGACTGACCAGTGAATGGTTTTCTGAGATCTGTTCCTCAGATGAGATCTATTGTTAATTCCTGTCACCTATTAATTATTTGCTATTAGGAGTTTTTTTTTGTTGAGCAGGAATTGTCTTTGATCTCTTCAGTGTACTTTAATGTATTTCAGCTACAGAAATGACTTTCAAGTTTAGCAATAGAATTGATTTACTAAACTTTAAAGCAGAGAGGAAATTTGCTTTTCAGTATGGAGAGTAAAAGATCATATTTGATTACGAATTTTTTATTTCCTGCTGTTAGATAATGTCAGTCATTGTGCCACAAATATATTCTGTTTGATGATACAGAAGCCCAGAATTGTTGATCTTCACATTAAACAGTAAAAAAAAACCAAACAAATCAAAACCTTAATCTGTTAGAAATTGTGTAGTGTTACGCTTCTGGATTCTCAAGGCCCTGTGACATTTTTTCATCCAGTAGTCAAAGCAATATTGGTTTCTTGCTTTTATGGGTCAAACTAATGAGATCTTGAATGATTCTGTAGCTCAGAGAATATCCCCAGTTTTCCTTTTTTTCTTTTTTTTCTTTTTTTTTTTCCTGCAGTAAGCACTCCTTAGTGGTTTGACTCCATTTGTTGAATACTTTCCAGACTGCTGCTTCTCTCCTTTTGAACTCAGACTTTCTGTTCATACTCCATCTTTATCGTATCATGTACTTGAGTTAAAGTGCGTTTGCAAAGGGAAACATTTCTGAAACTGTTTCTGTCTTTCTCCTCATCTTCTCCTTGTCTACTCTCACAGTTTCCCTAGAAGGCTTACAGCTTGTTGTTAGTTAACTTACTGGCAATGGTATTGTTTTAGTACAGTATGGAATTGATATGAGTACAGTCTTGTGATTTTTCTCTATTCTGCAGGGAGCATGTTTTGTATATTTCTTTGTGAACAAATAGTTTTAAATTCAGCCATATGTACAAAAGATACTGAGTGTGAAACTTTTGAAAATAGTGTCAACTGATGTCATGTTAAATTTCTTTCTAATGTTTTTTTAGATCATGTACTTTAGTTCCCTTTTTCCTTATGTGGTGCTCTTGTGCTTTCTGGTCAGAGGACTGCTCCTTAATGGATCATTGGATGGAATTCGTCATATGTTCACACCTAAGGTATGTTCTAATGTAATATATATATTTTTTTTCCAGTGTATTTAAAGATTCAGGGGCAATTTGACTATTTATGAGTGCTATCAGATAAACACATTGCCTTCATAGAAGATGGATTGTTTTCCTGTTTGATCGTTTCCTTTTTCTGTTGCTGTTGACCTCGGTGCCAAAGTATCTAGCCCTAAGGTCCATAAGGTTCCAAGTGTTCTGAATGTATGTGTGAAGTTACCTCCCTTACATGATAGTTCCCTGAGTTACCTGCTTTTACAAAGCAACTGAAAGTGTTGTTCATAGGAATGAGAACGTTTAGAAAACTTGATGAGTTCAGTAATGAAAAGAGGTGTGCATTTTTAATCTTGTGATTCTCTAGGATTTAAATGCTTCGTTCTGGAGTGTCATAGTGTTGACTCCTGTCATAGATTTAAATAATTAATTTGTCATTTTTGAAAGGATCTATTTCTTTTAGAAATAAACTTCACTTGCATTACAGAGTTGTGGTTCTGCAGGAACTTGCAGGCTGCTTAGGCAAATTTGGGGAAATCTGAGGAACAGAGAAAAGTAATGCTTATTGACTAATCTGTAGCAGAGATGGAATGCAGACCTCTTGAATTTTAATCTGGTTTCTCAGTGTCAGTATTCTTTCTTTAACTAGAAAAGTACCAGTGCATCCTGAGAAGGAATCAATACTGAAACTCCTCTTTAATATACACCCTGTACCCTTTATTATTTCATCTTTCATGCAAGAAAAGCTGCAGTTGATCCTCACTTTATAGTTAATTTCATCATTTAATTATATATTTTTTTCAAATGTTCAGATAAACAATCCTTGAAGACAGTCTGCCAATTTATCATTGTTATTATCAAAACATAAGTTATAGTTTAAATCTGAGATTAGGAATCATGTCAAGTCAGATGGAGAACATGTAGACATAAACCTTCAGAAGTATCTTTATAAAAATCTCAGAATGTTTCTGTACTTAAGCTTAACGTGGGTTGTAGGTTCCCAGGAAACGACCTAGGTATTCAGACTCCCCTACATTTTGTTGTTTCCATGTAGTCTGTGAAAACAAAGAAGTGTTTTATTAAGTAAACCAGTTAGAGTTAGTAAAATGAAGACTAGTCCTGTAGCACCCTCTTGTGGAATATCTCTAGCATGACTCTGATACAAGCAAGTTGAGCTACTCAAGCACTGAAATTATTTAAAAATCTATACATTTGACAGGAAAATTTAGTGTAATAAAGCCCTTTTTTTTCAAATGTGTTTTATTTTTGGGTGTTTACTTAGAAGACTGTGTTTATTATCTCTACATAACAACTGCAGACTTTTTTTACTTAGAATAAGATAGTGTTCTGTTGCTTGCTTCAGCCTTTCAGTCTTACTGTTTTTATTAAGTTTTGAATTTAGAAAAAAAATGTTTGAAAAAGCAAGGTTATAATATTTGAAGAAGTAAGGTTTGTCATTGTTAAGTGGACAGAGCTGGATCAACTCAAGAGGATGAAATACTGAAGTATGAACTTTTTTTTGATTCAGAGTTGAGAAGGATTTTAGATACACAATGACTAATAACTTTAAACAAAGCTGTTTATTGAAGTCTGATCATCTGAAGAGCAAATTTTTATGGAGTTAATATTTGAGTTGAGATGCAAAGATTAGTTGTTCCTAAAATACATCACTCATTTAACTTTGATCTGGATGCTTTGAACTTGTCATAAGGGAGATTCTACTTGTGCACTATACAAATTCCGGTGACTGAGTGTTTGTTTTACATGCTATATTTTTGCTTTACATATTTGCATGTAATAGAACTCCATATAAGAATGTGTATTTCGTATTCAACTTGTTGCTTTTTAAATTAAAAACAAAATAAAAAAAATGCAATGTACTTACTACATTTATAAATTGGTTTATATTTCCAAAAGAAATCTTAATTCTAGTGCCAGTCTGTCCAAGTATTATAAAAATAAGGTGGGCAAGTAGTACGAATTAAAAATGACAGATGTTTTCTCTGATTTCACAATGTAACTAGCTGCTATTTCAGTTGTCACATAACTTCAGTAGTATCTCATTCTATTGTATAGAATATTTCTCTTTAAGATTTATATTGTATAAATTAAATGGAAATTCTGGTCTGTAAGTACACACAACTTGAAGTGTTACATTCAGCTTTATCATAATGAAAATATGTTTGTAGTGGGGTACAGTGGGCTATTAGTGTTTTATGATGTAGGTTGTCTTCATGTGTTGGTTTTTTTTGTTTGTTTGTTTTGTTTTATGTGTGTAACAGAAGTGCATGTTATAGCTGACATATATTGTATCTAATTTCAAACAGCTTGAAATTATGCTGGAGCCCAAGGTCTGGAGAGAAGCTGCTACTCAGGTGTTCTTTGCCTTAGGGCTTGGATTTGGTGGAGTCATTGCCTTTTCAAGCTACAACAAGAGAGACAACAACTGCCATTTTGATGCTGTACTGGTGTCCTTCATCAATTTTTTCACTTCTGTGCTGGCAACCTTGGTGGTGTTTGCAGTTCTGGGCTTCAAAGCCAATATCATAAATGAGAAATGTGTTATCCAGTATGAATATCAATTTTTAATTATTATTCTTATGGTAAATTTCATTTATGAATGCACATAGATCATCAAGTTTGATTTCTCTGTTTTATTGTGTTTTACAGAAATTCAGAGAAGATTTTAAAACTTCTGAAAACAGGAAATCTGAGCCAAGATATGATCCCACATCATATCAATTTCTCAAGCATTACAGCAGAAGATTACAATTTAGTTTATGACATTATTCAGAAAGTTAAAGAAGAGGAGTTTGATTCACTAGGCTTGAAATCTTGTAAAATTGAAGATGAGCTTGACAAGGTGAGGGAAATAAATACACCTTAAATAAAAATATTTAGGATATTTAGGAAGAGGGAATATTTGTAATCCTGAAATAAACTGAAGTGTACCTATCATAATCAGTACTATTCCCTATAGCAGTCTGTATGAAAATATGATTATGTTGTGGATCTTATTCTTGCTCAGGTGAGCACTTTTGAGTTTGACATCTCCACTAATTTCTATCATACTGTAACCATAACATTAGTCCTCAAGAGATGATAAAGTTTTGAAGCCCTGTTTGACCGCAGGCATTTTTCCAAATTGTAAGTAGAGATTTATCTATTCAACATCTCAATTATGTCTTTTATTGTCAATATTATTGAATATTACTTTATATAGATATCACTTCAGTGGAAATGAAAATAGTTAATTAGTTATTAGACATTTGTTTAATTGACATCATCCTGTTTTGAAATCTTTGTGATAAACCATACAAGTACAGAACGTTTTTCTAATCTTTTTACAAAGAAACTTCGAGTTTGAAACACTGAACTCTCTGCAATTCTACCAACATTTGAAGCTGAAATATAAATTAGTGACTTAGACATTAAAAAGTTTTGTAATATTCCAACCTTTTAAATCTGAAACACGGATACAGAAATGAAGTCTTTTATATACTAAAGTATCTCCTAATCTGATATAATAGCTCTATGCAAAATTATCTGTAAAAGAGCAAAAAATTACATTGTTAATAGAGCATGAAGATAAAATGTCACTCTACTATTACTGCTAAGACTAATGCTACTATCCATGAATTATAATGTGGATTTTTTTTTTCTGACAGGCTGTTCAAGGAACTGGTTTAGCTTTTATTGCCTTTACAGAAGCAATGACCCACTTTCCTGCTTCTCCCTTCTGGTCGGTCATGTTCTTCCTTATGTTGGTAAATTTGGGACTTGGAAGTATGTTTGGAACCATTGAAGGCATCATCACACCCATTGTTGATACTTTCAAAATTAGGAAAGAAATTCTTACTGGTGAGTTTCAAAACCTTTCTTTTCGTGTCAGAGCAGTAAGCCAAAAGTAGTAAGTCTTGATTTTCTGACTTCAAACATTTCAGTAATTGCATTTAACAGATGAGAAAATCACTGTTCCAGACTGTACATCCACACATGTGCATGTTAATATTTACAATTAGATACTTACTCTGGATGCAACAAGAGCTGGAACAGTGAACTTCAATTTAATAGAGAACTTCTGTTCAAAATTACTTTACGTTAAGTTCTTCTGAAAATTGTTGTTGTTACAACTCGTATTTCTGTCCTTCATTCCAGTCATCTGCTGCTTAGTAGCATTTTTTATTGGCCTGATCTTTGTGCAGCGCTCTGGAAATTATTTTGTCACGATGTTTGATGACTACTCAGCTACTCTGCCCCTGCTTATTGTGGTCATTTTGGAGAACATTGCAGTTACCCGAATTTATGGAATAGAAAAGTAAGTTAGAGGAAATATGTTCCCCTGTTCATATCAAGAGTATTCATTACAATACTTATTACTGTTATAATTCTAAACCACCAACTATTTGCTATGAACACATAAATTCAAGTCAGTTGAAAGATATCCTTCTTCGTAAACTAACTGTAAGACAAAGAAAAGCAAAACAAAATGAGTGCAGTAGGAATTAAGGATGAAAACAGTAATTTATTTTTGCGATTATTTCTTGCTGGTCTGTATGATTATAAAGCTGTTATTCTTGGTGCAGTAAAGGAGTCAGAGTGGGTCATTCTGGACTTGACTCCAGTCTTAAAAGAACAAGTTTGGAACAAAGCATAGTGTGTCAGGTGAAACCCATAGAACAAATAAAGAATGCAATAAAAGAGTCAAAATTAGAGGTGGAAAGAAGGATGGATGGGCAAATATCGGGAATTTGTATATGTAAAGTAAGGAAAGTAAGGAAAGGATTTGAAGAAGTCATAGAAGTGGTCTAAGCTGCAGATGAGGAGTATTTTGAACAAATCTGCAATATTTTGGGTAGTCTGAGAGAAACAAAGCAAATTCTAGTGGCTGTAACAGTAAGAAGGGTTTCGTTTATTATTTATTATTATGGGGTGTTCTCGCACTTAAATGTTCTTTGCATTAGTTGTGAGGGAAAAAGTAGGAAATTATAGCAAAGAATAGGATGAAAACTTAAACGGAGGAAGCATGTTTGGTAAAAAAAAAAAAAAGGTTAGTCTTCTATCAGTGATGACTGAGGAGAGCAATGAAGACCACTGTATCTCTAATGTTTCTACATAACTTGACAGAAACTGTAAGAATGTGAGATTGGTGGCTTATAAGAAATATTAATAGAGTGAAGAAGGTGATGAAAGACTTTGAAAATGAAGAGAATGGATTTACGTTTCATTAGTTGTAGATCTGGGGAATGCAGAAAGAAAAGGCAGTCTTTAGAGGGCACAAACCATTTGCAAATTCAGCTTCTTTTTAAGGGTGTGTTTCACTATGGTGTAAACAAAGAATAGAATAGCCCAAACTATGTGGTTCAAAATTTCTTTCAGTGTTTATGTGACAGTAACTTCACATGTGTGACTGCTCTCAAAATGTATTTATTGCTATAAGAACTTTTTTCATGCACACATTTCAATAGGGAATAGGACCACAAGGGAATTAAAAGAGAATCAAGGCTTGAGCACACTCCAAAAGAATTAGCTCTAAAAATATTCTCTTTTTCTACTGGCTCTGGAACAATGTACTCCATCAAGAATACAAAAATAGTTTTGTTCAGATCATAACTTGCAATTTTGAGGCATAAGAAGGCAGATTTAAAACTTCACAAACTTATTTCAGCAGCTTATATGATGCAAACCATAACTTATGCATAAAGATATTCTTTTACACTGCAGTACACATATGGATTCTAAATTATTTTTGCAAAGTTTGTAAGATGTGTTGTTTTCACATGTGCTCAGAAGTGATGGCACATGTCTCAGCAAGCATTAGGCAAGCATTAAAAAAATTTTTGTAAACTTCTGTAAATTAAAGGTAAGTTTAAACATATTTCCAGAATGGTTTAACAAGCTGCTCACATGCTAAATTTAGCCTACTACATTCTCCCTTAAGGCCCTCTTCTGAGGAGGGAAGGAGGGCTAATATCTTATCTGGCCTGGCAGTTGCTCAGTCCAGCTGCTTTCTAATGCTCAGATTGACAATGGGCCAGGGAGGTGTAGGTGAATAGTAGCTACGGCTAGGTTTGGTCTGCTTTGGAAGCAGCGTCCACTTTTGCTTCTACCTTCATAAAAACTGGAAAAGGTCATAGGCTACGTCCATGACGTGGTTTCATCTACAGTGGTAGGTGGTCTGGTCTGCCTCTAAAATCTCACCCTTTCCACTGCCTACAGTACCTAAACTGCTCATGTAGTTTACTACTCATTGCAGGATAAGGCCGTCTATATGAGGCAGAAACAGAATTTCAAGTTTGTCAGCCTCCATGAAACTGACAGAAACAGAAAGGGTATTTCCTGTAACACTCAACCTTGTTAATAGAAGCTGATAGAAAATAGCTTGGTCTTCCAATTCTGCTTTGATGTTTACTTCTACACGAAAGATTATTCTTCAGAAAATACTTGGTAACACACAGTATCGTTTGAACTCACAAACTAACTGAGCCTGTGTTTCAAGGGAGTAGTTGTAAATGTAAACTAATTGGATAGTAAAATTACAGGTATTTCACTGCTCACCAAAAATTATTTATTTAATGCACTTTAAGATGCCACTAGTCCCAGTTTTCAACAATCCAACATTATAACTTGGATGAGGCATTAAACTTGGAACCTAAACTTTATTGACTAGAAGGGCATCACACTATTTTACTGTATTAGTTACAGTGTATTATGTCTGAATCTTCAGTGTTCAAAAACTAGTTTACTGAGTCATTACACTGTGGAGTAATTTTTTGCTCGACTCTTCAGAACTGTAATAAAGTTTTATTTTTCACGCCTTCCAGTCAGCTACAGTGCAGGCATTTCTATATATACATTTTGCCAGCTTGTCTATGCTTTCGGATTAGATACTATCAACTACAACATTTGAAATCTCAGTGGCCAGGGTAATGATAACCTTTTATTTCCTTCACAGATTCATGGAGGATCTGAAAGATATGCTTGGATTTTCTCCAAGCCAGTATTATTACTACATGTGGAAGTACATTTCACCTTTAGTATTGTTATGTTTGCTGGTAGCTAGTATTGTCCAAATGGGATTAAGTCCTCCTGGCTACAATGCATGGATTGAAGATACGGTATGTATATACTAGATGTCATTGCAATCATAGTAATCAGATATGAAGTATTTCAGAAGTATGTGAAAAAAAAAAACCAAAAGTTTTCAATTACAAATTCAATATATCAGTATAAATACTTATATAGTGATTAAAAATCTTTTAAATTTTGAAGGTTTTTTTTGCATTAAAATATAACTACTTGACATGAATATATGTGTTTTTTAGTAAGTTTTAGTTTGTTGGTGTATGTTGGATATGTTCTAAGGGCAAGAGAAGTTGTTCACTTTCACTAAATTTTATCTTACTACAGAAAATTGTTGATATTTCAGATACCACATCAACTTTTTACTTGGAACTAAATATTGAGATTAGCAATGTGATATCTTTTCCTTTTTGGGGACAGGTAGTACCTGCTTGTGGTGGTACCTGCAGGTAGTGCCTTATGTGGAACTTGAATTTTAATCCATACCACGATCATCTTAAGCAAGTCCAATGGTCTGACTTTTGAATTCAGTATGCCTCCAAATTGCAGGCTTTCCCTTTATAAAATTGAATACTAATTGAGCTGTTAGACAAACTGAGAGTGTTGTCCAGTGATTCATGCTTGGAGTAGAGAGGCATGCTTGTGGGGTAGAGTTGCTGGCCCAGTAATTGAGTTACAGTTTATGTGAAGTTTAGACAGAGCAGAACAATTCCACAAGATGATCTGAAACAGTCCCTGTCTGCTTCAGCTGTTAGCCTACCAAACAGAGGTCTATTTTCCAGGCATGGTTACAGATGCCACTGCATGCTGCTCTGCTGTTTTAAAGGATCAGGGAATTACAAGCAAATTTAGCAGAAGATTGAATATGAAAATCCTGATTTGGGCTCTGCTTCAGTGCTCTGAGAATGTGGGAAACTTTGGGATGGCAGTTTGGTCCTGCTCCCTGGCAGGAAAATACCGATCATACATTCCACGATTGTTCAACTTCAAAACCTTCAGTGATGCCCACATTGTGGATGCAAGATGACAAGCAGATTAGCATATATTTGAAAACTTCAGGCCTTAGTGAGAACTGCAGATTTGCTCTTTTTAAAGTAAAGATTTATTTAATCTTTTTCTCTTTGCATTCACAGGCTACAGAAGAGTTCCACAGCTATCCAACATGGGGAATGATTGTCTGTATATCTCTGATGGTATTAGCCATACTGCCAGTCCCAATAGTCTTAATAGTGCGCCGCTGCAACCTTATTGATGACAGCTCTGGAAGCTTGGCATCTGTATCCTACAAAAGAGGCCGAATAATAAAGGAGCCTGTTAATCTGGAGGGAGATAATACAAGTCTAATTCATGGGAAGAGTCCAAGTGAAGTGCCATCTCCGAACTTCGGGAAAAACATATATCGAAAACAGTCTGGATCACCAACTCTGGACACTGCTCCAAATGGACGCTATGGTATCGGATACTTAATGGCAGATATGCCTGATATGCCAGAATCTGACTTGTAATTGCAAAAAAAAAAAAAAGAGTTTTCTGTTTGTTTCTCCTCTTGCTGATCATGGCTCCCCTAAGAGAGGTGGTCGTATTCACATACTAAGGTGCAATCTCAGGTGCTCCATAGTGGCAGTCTTCAAGATGTTGTGACTGTCTGTACAGGTTGAGAAAACTCCCTTTGGATTAATTCTCTGAGTTTCATTTGCACTGAAGAGAATAAATGGAAAATCAATCGCAGCCTACATCTGCCAGTGTAGCTGAAAATTTGTTCTTTTAAAATTAATTTCTAATTTTAAAGCCTTCTATCACTGAAGCCCAGTGATAAAATTCCCCACTTAAATGATATAATATTTCTGAGGTAATATCACTGACTTTTTTTTTTTTTCTGCTTCCAGATTAACTCCCCAGTATTAAAAGTGAGCTCTGAAGAAGTTCACCAAATCCTTTTGTGCACACATTTGTATATACCTTATGTAGATATGCTGTACTTATTTTGTTAGCAATGATTATTACCTAGGCTATTAGCTGAGTAAAAAAAACCTGCAAACTATTTTCTTATGTAATATCTGTATAGAGCAATAGTATTAGAAAAATCGAGGAGTAGACTTATGGGAAGGCAAGAAAAGATTCCCTGTTCACTGGGGACTACATAAACTGTATTTGTATACGAGGGCTGTTAAGAAAGTAATGCCTCCTATTTTATTATATTGGCCAATGGCATCAGAAGTGGATGTTGGTGGTGTGGCAGCAGAGGTTGAACCTTGCCACCAGTAATCAGTTACATTTTGGTGTCATGTGACAGCTGCTAAGGGGCATTCTAACAAATGGCATCTGACTTGGAAGAGCATATGAAGTGAAGATGTGTCATTGAAGTCCTCTATGGGGAAAAAAATGGTACACATTCACCTTCAGCAAAGCTTGCTGAACGTTTATGGAGACCAAACAATGGATATGAGGATATGAGCACACTGAGGCTGTAGGTAGTGTTTCAGGAATGGTGATAGCAATGTTAGAAGTAAGCCATGTTCTGGATGGCCATGCACAAATGTCATACCAAAAAAAGTAGAGAATCTTGTTCAGTGCATCTGTGCAAATAGATTACAACTAGGGAACTGTGTATGGAGCTGAATATTAGATTTAATGCACTGGAAACGATGGCGGCAATATTGAAATATCACAAAGTTTTCACCAGATAAGTTCCACAAATGGTCACAGCAGAAAAAAAGAACACTGTGCTCAGATCTATAAGGAGGAAGGCTGAAGGCGACAGTGTCTTGGACAACATCACTAGTGGAGATGAGATGTGGAATCACTAGTATGAGCTGGAATCAAAGCAGCAGTCTATGGAACAGTGACATGTAGATTCCCCATCAAAGAAAAAGTTTAAGACACAGCCTTCAGCAGGTTAAGTGGTGTGCACTGTCTTTTGGGATGGTAAAAGGTGATCCTTGCTGTAACCCAGACAAATTAGCAGCACTGACCACTACATAATGACTCTGACTAAGGTGAAGGCTAAAACTTCCAAGGTCAGGCCAGAGAAAAAGTTAACCTTTCCCTTAGGACATGATAACGCCAGGCCCCATAACAGTTCGAATACCATGGAGTACATTGCAAGTGGATTATCTACCATATCCATTGTGTAGTCCAGAATTGGTGCCTTCTGACTTCCATCTTTTCAGGCTGATGGAAGATGGACTGCATGGGCAACAGTTTCCTAGAAATGATGCAGCTGTGAAACAATGTGCCATCTTCACCCGTACAGATTGTAACAAGTGTGGCATGCAGGCTCTCGTTCATCATTGGTGAAAATGCATAGCTAACAGTAATGACTGTGTTCAAAAACAGTGTTTTGTAGCTCAGAATTCACTCTATCAGATAGTGCTATTCTATTTGCATCTGTTGTTTCTGTAGAAATAAATAGGAGGCATTACTTCCAAAGCAACCTACGTATTTTGTGTAAAATATTTGTTTTTTCAGTGTGAAAACAATGTAAGAGTGAGTCACTCCAAGAATCTTGAGGATTGTGCAGATTCTGCATTTTTTTCTATGCTGTGTGCCTAAAAGAGACCTTCTTGATATTTATTGTGGTTATGAGATTACATATATATTATATTTATATAATATACTTGTAAATATGTATATTAATCTGTATGTAATCAAAAGTTGAAGCAAGATGGCTTTTTTAATTAGTCTTCTTCTGTTCTTGCTTGTTCTATGCCAATAATTTTTTCAGTCAGTAATTGCTAAGAACTGTATGCCATTACATTTTAACCTATGAATAAAGAGATTGACAAGGCATTTGTCTGTAATTTCCTTTGCCATTTATTAGAACATAGAACTGCTGAGACAATACCAGGCTATTTGAAAGAATAACACCAAATGGATGTTCCTGAAGAACCTGAAAACAAAAATAGTAAATGAGCTTGCTCTCTCGTTACTAAACTAATGGGCAAGGACTTTAACTATGAATACAGCAGTTTGATGTGTCAAAGTAAACTGACATGATACTCTGAAAGATAATGGATAATTTATTCCTTATCTCAGAAATCTTTGAAATTAGGTGTAAATTCTAACTTCACTATCTATAACAAGCAGAGGACAGAACTTAGTTGCATTTTTTTCAGCATCAAATCCATAAATAAATTACTTTATTTGAGACAAACACACATCTCAGAATCATAACCAGATAAGCATTTCTTACTGCCTTACTTTCCATCATTCCAGCCTACCTGTTTCAGAGAGCAAAAACTGAAACAGATTTTATACATAGCTCTGTGTATTCTCTATCATGTATTGCCTACCTCTTGACCTTTGGCAGGGGAAAAAAAAGTTGTGCAAGAGAGCTCTCTTCACTGTTGGTGGCCCTGGTGGTGCCTTTTGCTTGTCCACATGTGGAATAATTGCTTTGAAACACATACTATAGCTGAGCAAATCAAAATACTTTAGCTACTTGGTTAAATTCTTTAAGGACAATTTTTTTTTTTTTTTTTTTTTTTTTTTTTTCTTTAGCATGATAAATGTGGATAATATTCTGTCTCTAAGCTGTCATGTTGTTTTGAAGAAGATTCCAATAATTAAAATAGTAAGACCATTAGACTTAGTTGAGAGACTTTTAATTAGTAATAATTAAAGGTACCTTTAATTATTAGGCTTTTTTGTTTGTTTGTTTGTTTGTTTGTTTTTTAAACACTTGTCAAAAACTGCACATAAAGTAGTTTTCAATTTAGTCCTCTCAAATGCATGTATTAGAGTGTTTGGGAGAGCTGGCATAATTTAACTGCTTTTTCATAACTGATCAGTTGGCAATATTCATAGTTGTATAATGGATCTTTGTTAGAGATGCAAAGGAAGCATCCACTGGCCAGTCTACAAAGAGCAGAAGTTCATTACTATGGAGTACTTGGCTGTAGAGATGCATGCTTTTAGTTATGCAGATCTTAGTTTTAGAAGTGAGATGTCTGGTGTTACAGATAACTCATCAGAAAGAATATGGTCTCACTATCAAAGCAAAATAAGCACTTCTGTTAAAAATGTCACAAAAAGGACTAATGCAACATAAATAGTATTAGTGCTGAAAGTTAATACTGTTGGGGAATATATACCTTGTTTCTGCCCTTTTACTTGTTTCCTTGAAAACTTTTAGTGACTATTTAGATTTTCCACTCAAACCATTTTAAACCACTATCAATCACTTGTTTTCTTTCATCTCCAATTAGCAGATTTCACCTCAGCTTCATTGTCTTTTGCAGGCTTGAAGAATATATGTCCCGTCTACCAGTAGGTGTTTGTTTCATGGTTTAATCTTAACCTTGATTGAAGTGCAGAAGCTCCTTGGAACTTCATTTATTCCGTTGGGTTAAAAATATATTCAGTCCCCTCTCCCTAAAGAAGTAGAAATTGGCAGGAATAGGCCAAAAAACAACTAGATTTGTTTAAAAACATTGTATCTGTAAAGTGTAATATTCAAGCACTTGGATATGAAACAGTTGTTGAAACAAGGTATGAAACTTTGTATACAATTGCTTCTAAAACCAAGGGAATTCACTTTGGGTACAGGTTGCTACTTGCTTGCCATAGGGATAAAAGGAAAGTAGCAGGAAAAAATATTCAGATATTTATTAACTGGAAAGGCAGAATATCTACGTGTCATGTCAGTTACAGCCATAATTAATTTGCCTTTTGTTAAGGAGAAGATCATTGCAAAAGGCAGCCTTGCTTAAAAGTAAATAGAATTTGAATCTTACACAATGAGAAATAACCTAAGAACCAAACTGTACATATGGAAAATAATATATCACCAATATCATTTACTGCAACAAGTATAAGGTTTCTGAAACCAATATATTTTAAGAAATCTGGTGTCCTCAATGAAAGCTAATAGATCCTTTCAGAATAAGTATGACACAAATGAAGGCCCTGCCACTGTACCTCCATAGTCTTCAAGAAACTCAATTGCAGTAAACTGCAAAATGGAGATTATAGTCCTATTGCTTGAATTTTGTTTTTCCTGATGTTCCAGAAGTTCACTGGTACCTTACAGAAAGTCATGCAAAGAAGAAAAAAAGAAGAAGAAAAGAGAATGAACAAAACAGAAAAGTCAAATAATCATAATCCTGATACTAGAGAACAACTGATACAAGTCATTTGATGACAGCAAACTGATATTAGCAGATGTCTTCATTCTGATGTAATCTTGTCATAGTGGGGAAGAGTCACTTATAATTATGATAGCAGTGGATGGTTAAAAAACGAACTGTGTGCAGAAAACTTCTAGATATTTGTCAAATACCTGCCTCTACTGAACACCAAGAAAGACTAACATGCATTGTGCAGCTGAAATTGTGCTTAAAAACAAAACAAAACAAAACAACAACAACAACAAAAAAAAAAACCAAAAACATATGCACACACATAAAGCAACAACAACAACAAAAAACTACCTTTCTACTGCTACAGCATATTTGACGATTTCATATAAATGTAGACATGCTAGTTTTGAGAAATGCAGGAAAACTTAATGAAAACTTTTAAATGTTTAGTTAGATTTTGTGGGCTGGGGGGATGGCATGAGGAAATAAAACTCTTCAGCTGTGATTTACTTCCATTGCCACTGGATGGTGCTCGCATTTCATATGGATTGAAAAACATGGCGTGTTCAAGAGTTTTTAAAAGGGGAGAATGTCATTCTTTTATTCTCTACCTTTGAGAATTGCCATGGTCTCTTTCTAAAAAGTTGGTGCTCCACAAATCTTCTGTACTTTGAAATGGTTTCATGGTTATTTCAGTTTCTTTGTTTGTTTGTATTTTGTTTTTATTTTTTAATAGCCAGGAATTAAAGATACAACAAATCTTTAATGCAAATGAAAACAGCAACATACTGTCAGTATCCCAGTGCCTAGTCTGGTCTTGGAAGCAGGCAATTCAGTGCTCCATCACTAAGTGCTGAAAGTAAAGGGGTAGTAAGGAACACCTAGAAGGGAGAGCAGCTGATGGAGTGACTGTAAATTTCTCAAGAACGCTAGTACTGTGATATCTAGTAATGTTGTCTTTTAATAACAGCAATATTTTTTATGTCTTGGGCAGTTGTTAAAACCTTTTGGCAGTGAGGGTGTAAAGAATACCTCACACTATGATAGAAATGCTGCGCCTTTCATCTCTGCTCTTTCTTCATTAGCACTGTGTCAACAAAAGTAGTATCTAAGACTTAAGACTTACAATTAGTTTCAGTAGATATCTTTGCTGTTTATTTTTTCTCACGTACATAGAACGGCAATGAGTGTTCCCATGCCATGAAATTTGATTTATGTTGTTAATACAAACAAGGCATTCAGTGAAAAAACATGTGTCTTTTGATTTACTTCCTTATATAAATACATACATATATCCTTGCTTGTGTATACACATATGTACGTATATATATTCTTATATATATGTGTATACACATACGTACACATATACATATATATACACGTGTGTGTATGCATATAAATGTATGAGAAACCCTCTGGATGTCTCATACCCAATCCAAATTGAACAGGTTGAAAATAAAATTGTTTTTTAGTTGCTAGGATCAGTTAGCAAACAATTGTATAGGAAGAAAAAAAATTCTTTAAAGCAAGTCTAGTTGGTTTTCAGATTTTTGATTCAAGCAAAAAGGAATACATGCAAATGAAGAGTCAGGTTTGCAGTTCAAAGAACAAGAGTTAAAAAGTGAAAAAGGAGTAATGGAATGATGAGAAACTGAGTTTATTTAAAGAAAAATGAATACAAGAAAAATGGAAAAGATACTGCTGAAATAAGGATAATTCAATGACCATACAAGTGTAAATTGAACAGGCAGTAAGAAAACCAGAAAGATAGAGGTATGGAAAGGAAAAATAAAAGAACAAAATCTTCAGAAAGAAAACTGGATTTGATGGTTATGTGAATAAGGATGCAATCGGGTCTTTGGTAGATACAGCCTACAGTTAGATGCAGTTGTTGAAAAGATATATGAATCAAAGTTGTTTGCAGGTGTGTTAACATACAAGAGGAGAGAGATGAGAAGTGAATCAGGACAGGAGAAGAAAGACTTGGAATGTGTAAGAATCCATTTCCCTTTAAGTACAGAAGTGTCTTTGACATAGTTACTTTTCATAAAGCATTTTGAGACGGTCTGGGGAAAGAGACTGAAGAAATGCAGCTGTAAGGATAGGAGACAGCAGATGTAGCTTCTTTAAACCAGTTTCACATCACTCAAGAAAGATAGCAGTCAGAATCTGGTAATAAAGAAGGAATTGTTTATCCCTTTCCAAGGATCAGGGTTTGCTGAATACTCCAAAGGAGATGTTCTCCAATTAGAGATACTTCCTTTGCTGCTGCTGGCCCTCAAATGAGGTTAGGGAGGGGCAGATCCTGGGTCCACCCCTTCCAGTCACACAGGTGAATTGCTTCCACCTGCGCTCCGAGGGCTGACTGTACCCTTTCACCAGGTTCTCAATCACTGGATCAGCCCATGACCTAACAGCTCCCATATAGGAGCCTTCCACAATTATTTTACCTTAGCTATCTGAATTGAAGACACAGCTGTCAGGGTACAATAGCAAGTAAACTGTATGATAAAGTTTGCAGAGAAAAACAATAACTTAAAAGCACGTAAAAGTCATTGTATAAGGATATGAGGAGGCAAAGTGAAGAAATGTGAGTCTGTGACAAAAATCTCTGATTTGGAGGTTGCAGTGTTACTGTGACATAACATTATAATAAATCTCCTGAGTATTTTCCTACTGTCAAGGATATGAATAGTCCCAGTCATTA